AAAAGAAAAACTGGGAATAATCTCAACACCCCAAAACAGGATGTGGTTAAAGAAGCCACAGACCATCAGTACCACAGAACGAGGAGCAGCCGTGGACAGGGAAGACTCTTAGCCAGGGATGTTGCATGCAGCTAAGATACTTGCAGAGTAAATTCGAGGTGGCTTCGATGAGTGACAGCTTGTGCTTGTACCCCAAGGTCTGTAGGGGCTTTGTTCATAGCAGGAGAGATCTGGAAGCAACCACAATGTCATCTGAGAGGCAACTGTGTAGGCACAGTGCTGCACATCTGGGCCAGGGAATATCATTCTGCAATAAAAAGAAATGAGCTGGCCAGGCATGGGGGTGGACACATGTCATTCTAGCACTCTGGGAGGCCGAGGCAGGAGGATCACAAGTTCAAACCTAGCCTGGCCCATTTAGCAAGATTTTGTCTCAAAATAAAAATAAAAAGAACTGGGGTATACCTTAGTGCAAAGGCCCTGGGTTCCATCCCCAACACACACACACACACACACACACACACACGGAAGGAAGGAAGGAAGGAAGGGAGGGAGGGAGGGAGGAAGGGCAATCATATCCTGCTCAGAACCTGGGTGCCCCTTATTCTCAAAGCAATATGACTCTCCTTACTGCAAGCCCTGACTGACCCAGCCCCTCCTAACTCCCATTTTCCCCTGATCTCTGCACTTTGCATACGCTGTTCCCATTGCCTGCATACTGTTCCCGCTTCTCTCCACCACAGGAACTCCGGCACCACCTACAGTTTTGGGGCCAATGTGTCTTCCTTGGGCTCAGCTCCCAGCCACGGTACAATGTCTACCACCCTCAGCCTTTGAGCCCCACTGTTCCCTCTCCCAGCCCTGGCACACAGCAGGGGCAGGAAGAGCTCTAGTGAATTCCATTTTGAAAACACGACTGGTAAAAGTGACATAAAGCCATCGGTGGTGGTGCATGCTTGTCTTCCCAGCACTCTGGGAAGCTGAGACAGGAGGATCACAAGTTTAAGCCCAGCCTGGTCAATTTAGCAAGACTCTGTCTGAAAATAAAGACTAAAAAGGGCTGGGGATGGAGCTCAGTGTGAAGGCCTTGGGTTTCACATCCAGCATGGCAGACAGGGGAGAGAGACGAAGGAGGAGGAGGAGGAGGAGGAGGAGGAGGAGGAGCAGGAGGAGCAGGAGGAGGAGGAGGAGGAGGAGGAGGAGCAGGAGGAGGAGGAGGAAGAGAAGAAAAGGAAGAGAGAAATGGAGGCCCCGCAGCTGTCCTGTGCTATACAGACCAGCAAATGGGGTGACCTCCGTGACAGTCATTAGCAGACGCCTCCCCTCCCCAGGCCCCACAGTGAGGATGACAGCAGAGGCCTTTTTCAGGGCCCGGCGCCCCCATTTCTCGGTGGCCAGGGCACCCACCCACCTGAGCGAGCCGAGCAGCCCATTAAGCGATTTTTTTTCTTCCACTTACAGCTCGCAACATCGACAGAGAGATTCAATATCTGCCGAGGCGCTGGCCTTGGAAGAGAGATCGCAGCAGCCTCAATAAAATATTCCCTCTTGTCAGCCCCTAGTGCCTTTGATCCCTCTCCGACTAGCCTGCCTTCTCCCCTCCAGGCGGATGAGGCGCTGCTGCCCCCCAAACCCCAGCCTTTCAAGTTCCACCAGTCTGAGAGCCGAGGTGGGGGAGTTGGTGGAAGGAGAATCATTTCCAAGTCTGTGAGAGGTCGCCTCCCCCAGGAAGTCCTCCGGGATCACCAGGCCTTGCTCAAAACCTCCAGGACCCTGATGGTCTTGTGCATGCGTATGGGGGCCGAGGGCCAGAGAGGGCCAGAGGCTCCTCCTATCGGTTCATCCAGTATAAAGGAAGGCAGAGGCAGGCATGGGGCTCCATGGGGGACCAGGGGGCTTGGGTAGGACAGATGTGGTCCCAGCAGGAACAGAGGGACAGGACAGCTTGCAGGGCTGGAGAGAGGCCCCTGGGGTAAGATGGTGGTGTACTGGAGAGGGACAGAGACAGAGGCTGAACAGGGCTGCTCCAGCCTTAGAGAGGGAGGACTTGGGACTGAACCCCAGCAGGGACTCTAGGCCAGCAGATGGCCAGGTACAGAGGGAAGGCTTGGTCCAGCCCAGAGAATATCCACTTCAGACAGGGCACACACTTGTCATCCCAGCACTCCAGGAGGCTGAGGCGGGAGGATCTCAAGTTTGAGAGCAGCCCAGGCAACGTAATGACTAAGTGAGACCTTGTTTCAAAATTTAAAATAATAGATAAATTAAAATGTCCATTTCTGGCTTCAGCACCCACATCAGCTGCCTGCTCCTCTCTGGAAGTCTGGGAGGCCCCACTTCCCCTAGTGGGGCATCAGGGGCTCCCAGGATCTCCTGGGCCCTCCATAGCCTCAAAAAATGGGCACAGAGCCCTTTCTCTGGGAACAAGTGGAAATATCAATGCTGTCTGTAAATCAAGAGCCGATGGGCACCAGGTAGCTGACGATTTATCTCCAAATCCACGGCTCTAAAGGGGAAACAAGTCAGTGATTCCAAAAGGTAAACTCTTCAGTTGCCTGCCTCACAAGCGCAAGGACCCGAGTTCGATCCACGGTACCAAAAAACTAAACAAAACAAAAGGCAAACTCTGACCCAAGACCCTGGTATAGAAAAAGGGGGAACTGGCAGCGGAGTGGGATGCGGCTTTGCCCTGCGCTAGGAGCAAGGGCGAGTAGCAAGGGAGGGGGACCTCGAAGGAAGACAAGTGTCCGCAAAGACTGAGCCCACTCATCTTCCAGCACTGGCACACACGCCTGTAGTCCCAGCACTCAGGAGGCTGAGGCAGGAGGATCACAGGGTCTAACCCAGCCTGGGCAATTGAGTGGCTTAGGGAGATGCAGTCTCAAAATAAAAAAATAAAAAGTGCTAAGGGATGTAGCTCAGCCTGAAGGCCCTGAGTTTGATCCCCAGGAGTGCTCCCCCCAAAAGAAGAAAGGAAAAAAAAGAAAGAAAAAGAAAACAACAACAAAAATAAATGGATAAGAAAAGAAATTAATGAATAACTAAAGCCTACCACACAGAGTCGTGCTGAGGTCCTAAAGGGACCGGGCTGAGGACACATAGAGACACAGAAGTGAGCCTGGGGGAGAGACTCAGGACTGGAGGGCACTGTGGTGGGAGTGCTGGGGAAAGGCAAAGTGGAGGGCACCGGAACTGGGCTTTGCAGGGAGAATAGGAGTTTCCCAGAGAGAGAGAGAGCTGAGAAGGCAAGGTCACTGTGGCAGAGTTGGGAGCTGACACAGGCAGCTGAGCTGGATGGAGACAGCCCTGGGCCGGGCTCCAAGCACAGACTCTGTCAGAGCCTTGGCCAGGATAGAGCCGGCAGTGATAGGTCAGAGGTGGCCTAGGCAGAGGGACCCAGGAGCCCATGGGAGGATGAGGGAACCCGGTTCCCCCTCCGCTCGCCAGACAGCAAAGCCAGCCTCCCTCCTTCTAGGTTATTAATTTTTCAGAGAAGAAAATGCTTTTTGTATTTTTTCCGGGCAAAATATTGATAATGGGCTTAATGTGCCTCCGCCGCTTTTGTGTGCACGAGCTACTCCAGGCTGGGGGCACACAGGCCGCCCCTCCGCAAGCTCCCAGCGAGCCCCGCGGCTGCTGCAGGCCCCTCTCACTGACTCACTCCTCCCGCCCGCCCGCACAGGCACAAAGCCGGCTGGGGCCAGGTCGATGCCGCTGCCAGGAGACCTGGGGTTTCTGCTGCTCAGGGCTGAGCGGCATCGTGGAATTGTTGGAAATTTTGCTTCTTTCTCTTGTGGACGTGGAGCTGGAGGGAGGTAGGGGGCTCTGCCATTTATCCCTTCATTCACTCTCCCACATGTCCCGATTATTATCCACCTGCTGTGTGCCCAGGGCCACTGTGGCCAGCCGAGCAGACCTGACCCCTCCCTCCTTGGAATTCACCGTCTGCTGACAGAAAAGGATGCAAAGAAAAACAAATTTTTTTCAGGAGACAAGCAGGGCATGATGGCTACTGGGGAGGCTGAGGCAGGAGGATCTCGGGTTCAAGGCCAACCCTGGCAAATTATCGAACCCTGTCTTAAAGTAAAAAATAAGATGTGGCTGAGGGTATGGCTCAGGGGTGAGTGCTTGCCGAGCATGCACAAGGCCCTGGGTTTATTTTCAGTACCCTCAAAAAGATTCCAGGAAAAGAAATACTTTGCTACAAGTCATAACAAGTCCCCTTGAAGGGAGGCATAGATGTGCATGATTGTAAAAGAGGGAAGACTCTCAGGACCTGGGGGCTACGCTGAGGTGGTAACCCTGGTTAGAGACCAGAAAGATGCAGATGAGTGGCCTCAGTGACCAGGGACCATGGGGACAGTCCCCTCCCTTGGAAGGGACAGTCTAGCACAGGCCCAGAGGCATTTTGTAGCTGTCACTTAGTTGCCCAGGCTGATCTCCAACTTGGGATCCTCCTGCCTCAGCCTCCCAGAGGTGTCCACCCCCCTCCCCCGCTTGATAATTTGCATTTCTGATGAGTTTGCAAGTCACAGAGGCCCTACTGGTCAGGGAACAGCCTCTGTTCCCAGAACCAGAGTCACCAGCTTGGTCAAAAGAAGACACTGGCCAAACCTATACCTCCAGGGACAGGGTCAGGATGGGGACAGGAGCCAGACAACCCCAGAGCCCTCCCTGTGTGTGCTCTGGGAGAACCACTTAAACCTCTGGGCCTCAGTTTCTCCATCTGGAAAATGGGTGTGACCAGTGTGTTCGTTTCTTGGCAAAGGGATGAACCAGGATGACAAATTGAGTGCTCAGTACAAAGCTTGACACACCATAGGTGCTCAATAAATGTGAGTGACAACTGCACGCACTGGTGATGATGGAACATGTGATTAAGGGGGCAGGACGTCTTTTCTGAGCCAGGACTGACTGGTCAAAACACAGGACACAAAGACATGACACCCAATGTATCAGTTCGCTACAGCTGCATAACAAAGCCCCACAAATGCCCCAGGTGAACAGACACATTTATTATCTCACACTTTCTAGCCACCCCTTGGCAGGGTCCTCTGCTCAGGTCTCACCAGGCTACAGCCAGGGCATTGGTCAGGAATTGTGTCTCTCTGGAGCTCTGGGTCCTTGTCCCAGCTCTTACAGTAAGTGGTGGAGAGCGCATCCTAGTGGTTGATGGGTGGAAGTCCAGGTTTTCCTGTGAGCTCTTCGATTGGGCATCACTCTCGGCAAGGGGAGGGTGCCCACTCTTCTGGTCATGGGGTCCTCTCCAGGGACACTGTCAGCAGGAGAATCGACTTCCTGTCTGCCAGGATGGTCACACATGGTCCTTGGTATCTGAGGGAGAAAGCTCCCCGGGTGCTCAAGTCCCTCATAGAATCTGTCGTAGTGTTCACATGGGACCTGTATTTGTTTTATTTATTATTTTTTGTGGTAGTGAGGATGGAACACAAGACCTTTCCACTGAGCTTCATCCTCAGCTCTTTTTTTTTTTTTTTTTTTTTTTTTTTTTTTTTTGAGACAGGGTCTCGCTAAGTCACTAAATTCCCCAGGCTGGGCTAGAACTTGAGATCCTCCTGCCTCAGCCTCCCAGAGTGCTGGGATGACAGGCACACAGCACCATACCTGGGTTCCCACAGTATTTAAATCATCTCTAGGTGACTTAGAATATGAAGTGCGACATCAACACTGTGTCTGCAGTTGTGACACTGTATTATTTAGAGAATAACAACAAGAAAAAATTGGTAAACTTTTAGGACATATGCAGTTTTCCCCCAAATATTTTCAATCCGTGATGGGTTAAACCCAAAGATACAGAGGCCTGACTGTGTGACACAAAGGAATCATGACAGTGACCCCTCAGCACCTCTGCCACATCTGGAGGGGAGGGGACTAATCAGGATGAATCACCAGAGCACCCAGATCCTGGAGCCACTTTAGAATTCTGTCAGCCACCAAGCTGGGTATGGTGGCGTGCACCTGTAATCCCAGCACTTGGAAGGCTGAGGCAGGAGAATTACAAGTTCAAAGCTAGCCCTGGATACATAGTAAGAGCTAGAAAGAGAGAGAGAAAGAGAGAGAGAGAGAGAGGAGAAAAAGAGAAAAAGAATGCTTGCTTGGATTGCACAAAAGCATACAGGTCAATATCCATGCCTTAGAACAGCCACACAAAAAAATGTTCATGGACAGAGAGACTGACATGGCTGCAGCATTTCCCTTTTTGCTTGGCTTGCTAGGAAGCTCAGAGTGAAAACTGAAGCCCCTGTGTGGCAAGGGTTTAGAACTAACTGCTGTGGACTTTGGAGACTGACTTTCCTTTGAGCTTCCTCTTCTTTCAAGCTCGATTCTAATTTGTTTTCTCTATCTGCCTGGCTGCTTTGTGATCCTTCTGCTCCAATCTTTCTGGACCTCTCTCCCAAATTGGAAATTGGACAGTGAGGCCCACACCTCTGGGCCTTGAATTAAAGCATACACACGGCTCAAACCAGGGAAGCAGCCTCTGACCCAGCTGAAGGGATCGGCCAGATAAGGACCCCAGGGGGACCTGTGAGCAGCACAAACAACTGCCCCCAAACACAGAGACCTGAAGCCAGAGCCCAAGTACTACTCCAGGGAACCTGGTCCCTCTAACGTCTGGTCCAGCCAGGCCTCATGATGCCCCCGGCATGAGAAGGCAGATGAGGTCACTGGATCACACCAAACCACAACTCCCTGGGGTCCCAGTTACCAGCAAAGCTCCCTGAGCTGCAGACAACCAGGGCCCAGGCAGCAGGAGACTCGGTGCCACTGGTCACAGCAGGCACACAGCACGTCCCTCTCAGCAGTGGGGACACTGAGCCCTGGTTTCTGGTTCCCATTGGGCTTCGCCAGGCTTGGTGGCACACACCTGTTATTCCAGCACTGGGGAAGGCTGAGGCAGGAGGATCTCAAGTTCAAGCTCAGCCCATGTGATTTGGCAACCTGGTGAGACCCTGTCTCCAAATAAAGGAAGATGTTTAGCCCAGGCCCTGCCCTACACCTGCCTCTGCTGTGGGCAAGCTGAGTCCAGGAAATTCTGAGGAGCACAGGGAAAGTGGGCTGCTCAGCCAGGTAGCTAGACCCACCCCTCCTCCAGCCCAGGGACCCAGCTCCAGGGTTTGGCGACCAGGGCCTCCCTTCCCCTCTGCTGGCCTTGGCCCTCCTCTCTCTGCCCAGCGCCCAGCCAGCCCTGGCTCCAGCTCCCGCAGGATCGATGGGAAGATCAATCCTGCTGGGTGGGGGCCTCCTGTGGGAGGTGGGTCCTCCTGTCTTCCTCCCCTCCCCCTCCTCACTGCCCATCTCCCCACCTTTGCCTCCCAGGACCCCCCTGGCCACTCTCCCCCAGTCTGCTCCTGCTGCTCGGATAGATCCTGGTGGCTCTGCCTGTCACAGGCCCTTCCTGGCATCTCCCGGCGTCCTGGAGCATGCACTGACAGCGTGTTCCATCCCCATCCCACAAATGGGAAAACAGGCTCCAGAAGCGTCTCTGCTGTGGGCAAGGCATTTGCAAATTCAGCACCTGTACTTAACCTTGTGAGGGCAAAGCCATCGGTATAGGGACTCCCTCGGGAACACACAGGGGATGGTATCCAAAAGGGCCAGCATAGCAGCAGCCTCCATGGCCAGCATGGAAGCTCTCCCCACCAGTCTCCTCACCTGTGAAGTAATGAGGCAGACTGGGGATCCACATACATCTGCATGCATGCCCCCATCATTTATCTGCTTCCTTCTCAGCTCTGAGGGTCTTTAATTGTTCCCAGCAGGAAAGAAACATCTGCACTGGGGTCTGCCTCAGTTTCCCCATCTGTAAAACAAGCAAAGCCTTGGTCAGATGACTGCTCAGGGCCTACCCAGCTCCTTCCTTTTTATGCCAGTGCTGTGACCCCAAGAGAGCCCCCCAGGGAACCCTCCTAACTGGCCTGTGACAAACAGAAGAGCAGTGTCCTATGACCTCTCCCCTGCAACTTGGGGTTGAGAAGGGGCACAGAGGGACCAGGAAGCATTGTGCCTCACCTCCTAAGCTGGAGGTGCTGGAGAGAGAGCTGGAGGTGCTGGAGAGAGCTTCATTTAAATGCAGAGGAGGTGGAAGGGAGGGGAGGGACATAGGGTGCGTCTGTTAGGGAAAGGGCTAAGCAACAAGGATGGCAGTTGGAGCAGGAGGGGAGGTAGGAGGAGAGGGGAAGCTGGTGCTGAGGAGGGGAGAGGAGGGAAGAGGGGAAGAAGGCAGAGGGGAAAGCTGGTGTGGAAGCTCATGCACTCAGAAGGTTCCAGGCCACTCTGTCTCAAAAAAAAAAAAGGCAGACCCTTGAAAGTGCAAGGACTCGAGTTCAATCCCCGGTACCAAAAAAAAGGGCAGAGAGCAGGTTGGGGAAGCTCCTCAGAGACCCCTCAACTCTTAGAGCTTAGCTTTTCCCCTTTGCCTTCCCAGTGGGAGAAACTGAGGCCCCGTGAGAGGCCTCAGCTGTGACGTCCGGGAAGCCACCAGGCCACCCCCAGCTCCTGTCCACTGCTCCCTGGAGTCCTAACACCTGACCACTGGTGGCAAGGGTGGGAGGGGCCCCAGGAGCCCTGGGCTTCCTTCCTGTCTCCCGGCCTTGGTCTGGGGGCCCCGGGTCCCCTGGGACTGTTAGGGGACACTCTGTCGGCAGCTGCCAGCCCCCTAGACGGGATATATTGCATACAGACAGACCTGGCACTCACTGGACCACCCAGTCCCCGGGCCTGGAGGTCAGTTGGAGGCCTGGGGTGAATCAGAAGCAACCTGAGCCTCAGTTTCCTCACCTGACAATGGAATCAGCAGGCCTCTCCCTCCGGGTGGCTCCCCACCAGGCAGAGCTGGGAGAGGAACCATAAGGGGTGTCGCCCCCCAGGGAGAAAGGGTGTCGGTGGGTGTCGTGGTGGACTGAACAGAGGGGAAAAACTTTCCTTCCCACACTCTACACTCCGTGACTCACTTTTGGGCTCAGGAACAAACAGCTCCCCGACAGACAGACGAAGAAAGCCTGACCCCGCACCCCCCCCCATCCTGGCATTCTAGGCCTGGCTTTCAGCTTTGTTTCCCAGCTTTATCTAATCAACTCACTCAACAAATATTTCCTAATGAAGGCCTCCAAGGTGCCTGAGATTGGACTGATGCCAGACTCCTGCCCCCACTTCACCTGCCCCTCCAAATGACAAGGAGTCTTTTCATCCCTTGATTTACCTATCTGACCCCAACTCCTACACATCCTGCAAAACCCAGCCTCCAGGCCTCCCACCTTCAGGAAAGGAGAGACTGCTCCCCACCACACACACACACACACACACACACACACACACACACACACACACACTCAGTCCAGTCCTGACCTCAGCCGGATCCGGGAGACAGCCTAGCAACTAACTGTCTTCCTCTCCCAAGCTTGGGAGCTCCAGAGGCAGAAGCCGAAGCGGAGGCACCAACTGCAGCCGCGAGGGCACAGAGAGGTTTTATTAAATCAAGTGGATGCCCACCTCCCCTCCCCGTCCGAGCATGCAGATTCTGTCGGGTGAAACTTCAGCATCCCTTCCTCAGTCCTAACAACCCCTCCCCACCCTGAAGGACAAGGAAAGGGCTCTGGCGTGGGGGCAGGGACTCGAGGGCCTCCCCTCCCCCTCGAGGCGGATTCGGATTCAAGGAAAGGTCCGCTGTGTTCAGATAACCGCAAGTTACTGGGGCCCTGGCTCCGCCTGCCTGGAACGCGCCAGGCCTCGCTGTGGGCCAGACTCGGGACCCACCTGCATGTGGCTGTCCCCAGGCCGAGGCCTCACCCGGGCTGGCGCCTGGGTCTCCAGGTCTGGAGAGCGGCGCTGTCCTGGGCTTGTCCTTTAGGTCACGGCCTGGACACTTCAGGGCGTGGAACCCGCCAGCTCAGGCTGCGCAAAGCCAGCGCCCCGGACCCCTGGGCCGCGACCAAGCCTGGAGACCCCGCGAGGGCCCAGGGGCCTCCAGCAACCTGACCACGGGCCCTGCGCGCCCCTCTCCGGGCCCTACGCGCCCCATGTCCTCCAGGACAGCGCTAGGAATGAAATATATATTTACGTTTTTAATCATCAGAGGAGCCTAATGCAAAGCAGCGGGCTCCAGTGGATTAACTGAGGCCCGCAGGGGGCCCGGGCGCCCTGCAGTGCGGGGGGGCGCCCGCCCCGCCCCGCCCCTCCCAGTGTGCGCGGGACCCGGGTTTCGTTGAGCAGGGGCAGCCTGGGGCCTGCAGCGCCGGGCCGCGCTCAGCGCAATCGGGCTGGGGGACGCCCTGGAGGTCCCCGCCAGGTCTGCCCGCTTCCTTACCCCGCCGCCAGCCAGGCCGCAGCCGGCTCTCTGCCCCTCCTGCCTCAGTTTCCCATACTGCAAACTGCACTACAAACCTGTAGTTCTTTCCTGAGCGCACGGTGAAGGGAGCCGATCTCAAAAGACAGGAGAAAGGAAGGGTCCGTGCCTGAGGCAAGGGGCGCGTTCCTGTCCCCAGCCACACTGGTGTACCCGGGTCCCCAGCCCAGTTTCCTAATCTGCACTGGACAGGCCGCGTGACAAGCAGCGACAGCAGCTGGAGGGGCGACGGAGCGCTGACGGCTTCGGGCGTCGGGCTCGCCCTCTCCTCTAGGCGCCCTCCGATCCCCCGGCCTCAGGGCGTCGCTCTATGGAAGGGAAACTGAGGCGCGGGTGGGGCGGGGCGCCCCAAACCCGCCCCAGCTCCGAGAGGCGGTGACAGGGAGTGAAATTTCCTCCTCTACGTGCGTCCCTCGAACTCCGGAGAAGAGGGCCCGGGACGCGGGGCCCCAGCGCTGTCCTGCTTCGCCGCCCGGCGCAAACAAGCGCGTTGTTTGTGGAGGGCGCGGCGGGCGGCGCGGGCCAAGAGCGATGAGGATTCGATGGAGCCGCAGCCGCGGCGGGGGCGACTGAGCCCGGGCGGGCGCAGGGATCGATCGCGCGCAGCTGTCGCGGAAGAGCCCGAGGAACATCACCCGCGGGCCGTGCGCCCCCGACCCCCGGGACGCCCGGCCCGCCAGGGGCAAAACCCCAGCGTCGAGAAACCTGGGGTGCGGTTTCCGGGGCGTCCTCGGGCCCAGCGCCCAAGATGGGGGCCTTGGGCCGCAGCGCAGCCCGGTGGGGACCCCACCCACCCGCCCGGAAAGGCCGGTCCCCTCCCAACCACCCGAGTCCTCGACCTCGCCCGAACGAAGGTGACGGGGGCCGGCCACGGGTCTCGGGTCTCGGGCAAGGCGGAATTGAAGGCCAGGATTTGGGGCGCCACAGTTTGGGGGTGCTGGGGAACAGCCGGCCCAGATCCGGGACTGGAGGGGGCATTAACTGCCGCCATCTATCAAAACCTCGCTCTAATAAAAAGGGAGATGTGTCCGCAACAGCTGGTGAGTTCTATATCCGTGGAAGACAAATTTAATCAGGAGATCTGCTGCGGACCGCGGAGGGGACTGGGGGAAGCCCCCAAAAGGAAAGGTTGGAGTAACTAACCCCTCCAAAATTTTTGGCTCCCCTTGAGACCGGAGAAGGCAGGTGGCTAGGAAGGAGGGGCGCGGAAGGCAGCGATTAAGGGAACACTGAGTTTGTCAGGGGTGTGGAGCCTGAAGCAACAGACCACTGCACCCCGGGGCAGGAGGAGAAGGACCCCCGACCTTTCCTCCCCCTTAATCGAATGACTCTCAGCCCTAGGGTCATCGGGCCCAGAGGCTGTTTCTAGAATTTGCCCAGGCTCGGGAGGGGCACAGAGAGGGTAGGTGTCTACCCCGGGCCGCCCAGCGAGTGCTGAAGCACCTCTAGGCACCGGAGTGAATCTCCAATTTGCCCGGAGGGGGTACTGAGCCCAGAGTTTCTAGGAGGTGGCTTAGGTCCCCACAAGGGCGGGAAAGGGGGCTCCCAACTCCCATCCAGCCCAACTCTCCCTCACGTGCAATTTGCCTAATGAGCCGGGATCGATTGGGGCCCCAGCCTCCTGCCTGCCCCCGCCGGCTCAATTCTATTTTACTAATTACTAAAAGGCCGCTGGTGGGGGATTCGGGCGCTGGGTCTCTAGGGGGCCTCTCTCTCCCTCTCTCTCTCCCTCTCTCTCTCTCTCTCTCTCTCTGGGGGCCGCAAATTTTTGCACCATTTCCCAGTGGGGCAAAGAGTGAGATCTCTGCCCCTGGACTAGGGGGTCGCCCACCCCGGGGGATGGGGGAGGGTGCTGCGCACACCTGGGTAAGGTCCTTCCGTGGGACTGGGAGACCCTTTCCCAGGCTAGGGAGATGGGGTGCTCTGTCTATCTCAGGGTGTCCGAGGCAGCAGAAGGGAGAGACCCCATCTCAGGGCCATCAAAATGGATCTTTCAAAATGGATCCTTTCACCATCAGAAAAGTCACGGTGCGTCTTATAGAAATAACAGTGGTGGCAGACCTGGAGGAAATACAGTCTGTGAAGAAGGAATCACGCCTTGTCCCGAATCCCACTTCCCCGCTGGGCTCCCCACGGGACAACTGCCCCCCGCTTTTGTTTCTCCACTCCCCACGGCCCAGCTGCTCTTCTCACCACCCCCACGCGGCCTTGGCTCTCTGGACCCCCGGATGCTATCATTTTTATGGCGGCTGATTGATTTTTAGACCCCACGATTCTTTTTAATTATCTGTGATTGTTGCAGGTTAAGGATTGGGGAGCTCAGGCTGGGGCTTGGCATAGCCACCCTGCCCTCCCTCTTTCCCCAGACTCAGAACCCTCACGGGGAGGGCTGATCTCATTTCCAGACCTGCCCCTGGCTCCCCATCTCGGTCTTGCCACCTGGAAGATGGGTGCGATTGTGCAGAAAACCGGAAATTATTCGCAAGGCCTGGAATGGACGGGTCTAAGGAGCCTCGCTCCGGGGGTGGGAGGTGTTGGCACTTGGACAGAACCATAGGGACCAGAAGGGGGGGGCTTGGATGAAGCCACCCTCTCCTAGGGCCTGAGGGACAGTGAGAGCTAGGGTGTAAACAATAGGCACTTACTAAATGCTGAGTCCTAAGCACTAACAGGGGTCCCCCTTTGTCCTACCCCATCTGATAGGTTGCCTCAGGCCACTCCACTCAACGATCCCCCCCTCCTCAATCCCCTGGCACTGAGATCCCCTCCCTCTCCAGTAATTGGGGACAGCAGAGACTCTCCTCTGGCCCTCAGCTGGGCCAGGCTGGAAGGCACCTCCTGACCTGTCATAGGTGGGGAAACTGAGGCACGGAAAGGGAGCTGGTACATGGTCAAGCCTGGGTACTGGCCTGGGCACATCTCCCTTGGGTGGCCACTTTGTGTGGGGGGTGGGGGGGGTCCCAAAAAGTCACCTGTTTTGCAGAGTGATTTCCTGACTCAGACCCTTGTCCTCTCCCCACGGAGGTGAAGGTGAGGGGATTCCAGAAGGAAGCCCTAGTAACTCCTCCCTTCCTCTCCAGGGTTACCCAGGGGCAGAGGTCCCCGGAAGGAAGGACCAAGAGGCTGGGGCTGTTTGGGGTCCTCTCTGACCCTGAACTCTGGCTCCTAGATGAGGGGGCCCTTCTCCCTAACCCGCTTCTTACCCATTACAGGTGTCTTGTCCCAGAGGTGTCCCCTGATTATAGGAAGGCCCCCATTTACCCCACTTCCCAGGGGGCCCTGGGCCTCACCTGTCGCCAGGTGAAGAGGAGCCGCACCTTGGCCCGCATCCGAAGGAGTTTACGGCAGGGACGTTTCAGGGAGCAGACGGGAGAGAGGTCCTCGGTGTTCCCCGCTGGAGGGTGTCAGGTGCCCTTTGGTCCCCCCTCGGCTCCCGGCACTCTGGGACCCTGGAATCCGGAGGAGTCTTTGGCACCCCTGAGGCCGGGCATTCCATTGGGTACTTGGGGAAATTGAGGCCCAGCTACCTACACTTGGGGAGGACCTTGTCACCTGGGATGAACCCAGACTGCGACGGCCTGAGGGCCTCGCTCTTTCCCCACTCGCTCCCTCGCCCCCGAAGAAGTCGCGTGGGGGGGGGGGGGCTGGAACGGCCCGTGTGTGTATGGGGGCTTGCGGGAGAACTGGGCGGGGGGAGTTATGCAACAGGGGTGACCCGTGGATCACCCCTAAGCGTTGGCTCACAAGCCAGGCACTCCCTGGAGATGAATCTCGGACTCTGGAGAGAACCCCAGATGAAGTCCAGGTCCCCACCTAGGCAGAGGCCGTCCTCGGACCCTCGCCCTCCCTCTGTCCCCCAGGAGGGAGGGCTGTGCCCCAGGCAGGCACAGCACGGGGGACCCCGGAAGCTCCTCGCCTAGCCCCTCCCGCCTGCCTGGCGCTCGCGGGGGCCGGGCGGACCCGGAGCAGCTCGGTCGCGGATGGGCGGGGGCGCTGACGTCAGACCCCGGCCCGGGCGCCGCGGCCGCTCCCCGCCACATTCTGGTGGCCGCGGTCGCTCACTCGCTCGCAGCCGGGCGGCCGTTGCGCCTGCAGCCTAGAGCCTCTCGCGCGCAGGCAGCCACCGGGGAGCAGGCCGGGGCCATGCGGCGGCCTTGATCGCGCCAGGCGGGCGCCAAGCATGGAGCTGAGTCTGGAGAGCCTCGGGGGGCTGCACGGCGTGGCCCACGCGCAGGCGGGCGAGCTGCTGAGCCCCGGCCACGCGCGCCCCACCGCGGCTCAGCACCGGAGCCTGGTGGCGCCCGGACGCCCGGGCCTGGTGGCTAGCATGGCCAGCCTGCTGGACGGCGGCGGTGGCGGCGCGGGTGCCGGGGGCGCAGGCGGCGCGAGCGGCGCGGGGGGCGGCGCGGACTTCCGCGGGGAGCTGGCGGGCCCGCTGCACCCGGCCATGGGCATGGCCTGCGAGGCGCCCGGCCTGGGCGGCACCTACACGACACTCACGCCCCTCCAGCACCTGCCGCCGCTCGCTGCCGTGGCCGACAAGTTCCACCAGCACGCTGCTGCCGCGGCGGTGGCCGGAGCGCACGGCGGCCACCCGCACGCGCACCCACACCCCGCGGCCGCGCCGCCCCCGCCGCCCCCGCCGCAGCGCCTGGCCGCCAGCGTGAGCGGCAGCTTCACCCTCATGCGTGACGAGCGTGCGGCGCTTGCCTCTGTGGGCCACCTCTACGGGCCCTACGGCAAGGAGCTGCCGGCCATGGGGTCACCGCTGTCGCCCCTGCCAAACGCGCTGCCGCCCGCTCTGCACAGCGCCCCGCAGCCTCCGCCGCCTCCGCCCCCGCCGCCGCTGGCCGCCTACGGGGCGCCGGGCCACCTGGCTGGGGACAAGCTGCTGCCGCCCGCCGCCTTCGAGCCGCACGCCGCGCTGCTGGGGCGCGCGGAAGACGCGCTGGCCCGAGGGCTGCCTGGAGGCGGCGGGGCCGGGGG